AAGTGAATTTGATAATGGTTTAATGTCTATCAAAAGGTGGCGTACCTCATGCTGGAGGGACCGAATGTTTGAAATTTATTTTGGCTTATTTTCAGGCAATCAGAATTGAGTATTCAAAAAACTCAGGGAAATCGCAAAAATCTCAAAGCAAGCAAATAAAACCAGACCATTAGTGTTAATATTGTCCGATTATATAATAAGCAGATGAAATAAATTAAAGCCGGATCGAAGGCGGATTGGAACATTTTACATATTTCTCGGATAGAGCTTTACAGAAAATGGAACACAAAAAACTAAATTTATTATACCTGCAACTATTATGTCTGCATCTAGTATACTTATTTTATTATGATTTTCTGTTAATATTGACTTCGATTTTGCCAGAAAAGCATTTAGCCAATAGGAACGGCTAGCGATCTTGATTGGTTGAAATTGTTTCAGCATTCGGTCCCTCCAGTATGAGAACCCTCCACTCTATGAAAAGGATTTAAGAAAAACATTTCTTCGATAAATTGTGGATATTTTTCCTCTCACCCATCTGCGACGTTTTACACGTTACGTTTTTTCACACAGTCCGATTGCCTCATTATTTAAAATGCAGGCTCATTAGGCTATAACAACTATATTTGGACTTCATATTTAAATTAGTACAACCCCCTGTTCGACCAGAAAATTGATGCTTATGTGAGGTGTTGTTAAAGGGTTTGGGTACGAGGAAAAAGAAGAGTTCAACTTGTGATTGACGGTTACCAAGAGGATAGTAAAACCGTTCCTGTTAAGTGTTAATTCAACTGATTTCTAGTTCGCATAAATAAGACACTGAACTAGAGGTCAACACATAACAGCTAGACAGATCTAGACTGATTGACAGGCAGGTACCAAATCACGTTTAATTATAATATGAGAACTCTCAGAGATAAGTAATAAATGGATAGCAACTAAATTGATTGACATGTAAATATGTAGTTCCTCATATTTCCGTACAGATGTAAAATTTAAATACATAGTAATTAAATTTAATATAGTAATTAATACCTGCCGCCGCACTAACATATCAACAACAACTTTGAGTTTTAGGCTTATGGCCATCTCTCTCCCTGGGTAAAGAGTTTTGAAAGAGTTTAAGTTTAAAGTTCACTTGTTTCCTTCCCCTGGATGTTTCCTTTCTTTTCCGCCCCTTGGATAATGTCTATCATGATTCCTCCCATTTTATCTACTGGCTTCCTTCTTCTGGTACTCTTTCTTGTTCCCGAGCTTTCACTTTGACTGCCCGATTCTTCTTCCTGACTACTATTCGTAAGGCATTCTCTCGCAACTAACGCTGGTCGGTCCTGACTCCCCTTACCTCGTTTCGCTTGTTTAGTTTTCGTTGCTTTAGGCTTCGCCCTCGTACCCGCTTCATGTTCTACTACTAAAGTACTACTACCTGGGCCTTGTCCCGCCGCAATCGCTTCTTGTCTCGCCATAACTTCAACTGGTAGCCGCGCTGGTGTAATATTGAGTGGCCGGTAATCTTCGCTATCTGAATTGTCCGAGTGAAATGTCACTACAGGTTTTTGCTGTTTGGCTATTGGCCGCTTAGATTTAGGGCTCTCGATTGCCCCCTTCTTTGCACTCGATAACATTTCCTTGAAAGTGGCCGGCTTCCGTTTCTTTGGGAGCATGTTCTTTGGCATCACTGCCACTGCACTTTTCCTAAGAACAGATCCGTTTTTCAGCTTGAGTATATGTTTAGACTCGGAGATTACATGAGATTTTAAGAGTTTATACCGATTTAGGGTCCTGCTGGTGGTACGCTGATAAAGGTAGTCTCCACCTCCTCTCCCTTGGATTTTGGAGCCGCCTGCGTCTCTACTCCCTTGGATTTTCGGGTCAACCCCCGATACCTCCCCTTGGCCTATTTCCATCTGCTGGTCGCTGTCCAGAATGAGCGGTGCCTTCGTTAGTGCCGGAGCATATGTCAAGTCCGATCGTTCTTCCCAGTTTGAGTGCTGTGAAAATTCGATTGAGCTCATTTCAGGGTCACCTTCGTCTAAACACAAACACTTTTGTTTTAAGACGTTCTTCCAATTCAGATTTTTAAGGCTCGGTTTTTTCGTAAGGTTTCGTAACACGGTGTTCGCCTCCCGGCCGTGGTGAGCTTCAACAGGTGTTAGTTTAATCGTTGCATTTTTGGAAAACCGTAACGCGCCTAATGCTTTATCGATCATAACTTCTAGAGACTTATGCTCTTTTTCAGATGCATAAGTGAGGACAAAATTCTTCAAACTTCCTACCGTTCTTTCCACTGAACCCGTACCCCGAAGATCATTCACTGGGGAGTACACTAACTCAATGCCCTCGTTGTTACAGAAGCTTTTAAATTTATTAGATGTAAAACATGATCCCTGATTGACGTGGGTTTTCCGAGGTACGCCATGCTGAGTTATGTACTTATCGAGAAATTTTAAGACTTTATCTGAAGTATTGGTTGTAGTAACCATCGCTGATGGCCACCTCGAAAAACGGTCCGTAGCAACTAAGATATATTTCTTACTTTCATTTAAATAGCTTATTGGCCCCCAGAAATCCAACTGTATACATTCATTTGGTTCCCTTGGTTCAGGGACCTTGCCCACGTCTCCCTTGGGTAACAACGTTTTTAGGTTCTTACCTGCGTCCATTAAAAATAAATGTATTCAAAACAAGATTTAGCAGTTTTGAAGATCAACAGTTCAAGATTTAGCAGTATTCAAACCAGATCTTTTTGATTGTTTCATCTTCCTTGTTTCGAACGTTTAGCCCAATGTTTTCACTCAAGCGAGAACACTGCACAGAGCTCTAAGAAGATGAAGTAGATAAAAAAGAACAAAATACATCGTTAGAAATAAAGCGTTTGCTAAGCACCGGAATGAAAACTCCGATCTGCATCCTATGAGCTTCAGGCGTTTCTGCGCTACGCTCACTTGAATATTCAGTACCACCGAATACAAGTGAAACTATTTCTTTCGTCCTGAATCGAAGCTACGACCTCGAGATTAGGAGTCCCATCAGCTTCACAACGGTCGCTTCGATTTTCACAAATACTAGACACCATTAAAGCAGCTGCAGATACTATTAAGCTGCCAATGCTTAGAAATATATCAAAAGTGCGTCCAATTGAGCACTAGCTGAAAAACAATTATTTATCAATAAAACAGCTAGAGATACAATTAAATTGCCAATGCTTGAAAAGATACCAGAATTACTCTTAAAAATCCATAGTTGAAAAAAATAGATTCTTAATATAACACTTTGCTCCCTAGCTAGCTCGTGTAATTAGTTCCAGAGGAAACGGCAAAAATGATAACAGAAACTTCGTCAATTTGCTATTCGTCAAAAGTGATTTTCGTGATTGTAGGAAAAGTCCTTTCGCTAAGTTGTCAGCTATTTTTTGTGAAGTTTTGACTCACCGAGACTAATACAATTTGCATAGACAAGAGAAAGAAATGACGGTTCAAATATAGTTTTAGAACCAAGGTCTCAGATGTGAAAATGAATTTAAAAACCTTCAAAAGTTCCCAAAACAAAAAAACGGGCGCCAGAACAACACCACCCAAGTAAGTATCATCGCTCATTGAGAATCACTGAACGCCCTAAAGTATTGTTTCTCAGTAAGATATTGATTCAGATGAAAAAAAAAAATCGAAAATTACCCGGGGTTGTACTTTTTTTTAAAGTATTTTTTTCATCGCAGGGGAGGGGGTTCAAAATTATCAGGGAGTCCCGTATTTTTGGACCCGACAGCTAGTTAGTGCAGTAACGTGATTTAGAAAAAATGTTGTTCCTAAGCTTAGCCTCGATTAGCTGAATAGTTAACTTTTAAGCGTATGGAGTAAAAGTTCAATTAAATCAGTTCATCTTGTTCAACTCATACAATTAAATCTCCATTTACAAATTATCAGGTTACATATGGCTGAAACGTCAGGAGAAAAAATATCAACAGGTCAAATTCGAATACTGAAACTGGACAAACACAGTGTCCGGTGACAGCCAAAAGGACCAAAACATTGAGTTATTCAATAAGTTATGCATCTATAGTTTCATTAATCTCACTACACTTCAGCAATTTTAACATCGATAATGAAACAATACTTCCGGTAACTACTGTGAGCAACAGTTCCAATTCATACGCACGCAATGAAGATTAGCTTAGGCTTCTGATTCTAGACTAGCAAGAAAATAAATGGAAAGGAATAGCATGTGTGTGTAATAACCAAAATAATACTCTGGTTCTAGCTAAAATATTAAAGAGCAGCATTTCCGAAGTATCTTTTTTCTCATCTATAAAACTGCTTTACACAGCCAACAGACAAATAGAAAAGTGTCAATAAACGCAAGGAAAACTTAATTTAAAACTTAAAACTTAATTAACCTAACTTGAGAAAACTGGATTAATAGGTTTTTTTTCCGCTGGGAAAATTGAAAATTAAAATCCACTTTCGAAAACAGAAATCGACCCCGTTTATTGTGGCCTTTACAATCTTACTGTTCGATTATGGAGTTTGTCTAATTTTTAACAAATGAAATGAATAGAACTTCAAAAAAATCTGAAGTCAAACCGCAAAAAAAAAATTTGCGCAAGAACAAATTTAATTTAGCTTTCCTGAAGAAAGATCAGACAAGAAAACATCACGACTTATAGAAGAGTCTTCATAAAGTTAATTGACTTAATCAACCACGTGCATTTTCGTTATTAGAGAGCGTAATTGCCAGCCATTCAGCAAATGAATAAGTCGCTGCTCACTTCGTTCATTGACACTTTATCATTTGGAAATCATTCAAAAAAGCTTTATTGAAAATCGACTATTGAAGTACAGGCATTAAAAAACAGCTTGTAGTAAAAAAAAACAGTTCAAAAAAATTGAATACCATTTTGATGAGCCACAAAATATTTTCGAGAATACTTCGAAATCACTGTTCAAAAGACACTAAATTTGTCGTTTTCAGTTCATTCAGTTGAAGGAAAAAATTTTTTCAGTTCAGTCTATGGATGACTTGATTGGTTCTCTAACTGGACTGCTCCCCAATTGGGTAGTATGTTCTCCGCTGGTCTCTTCCGCTGGATCGAATGGCTCATTCCATTTGCGGTGCAGGTTGATGTCTATATTTTCCAGGTGCACATCCACCGCCTGGAACTTCACGAATTTCGGCGGGATGGGACAGAGTTTGAACTGCACCTCATCGCCAACCAGAGGCACGTAGGTATCTTGAATACTTAAAAAAAAAACGATTCAATTAAGCAAAGAATGAGGAGTCCCTCGCAACCCTTTCTGAATAGCTCTAATCAAAATCGTTCACATTACTTAAAGACAAACACGAACAAGTGATCAAACCTAAAAACTCACTTATTGTGGCCGTTAGGAATCATTTTAGTCCCAATCTTTGCGTTTTACACTTATCACCCACCGTTTAGTCTTAATCAGGCAAAACGTGAGGCAAGTAAGCTAAAAAAAAAGGTTGCAACAAGATATTTAGTCTAATAAAGTAATTCACATTGAAAAAAGTTGGATTTTTAAATCCCCCCTCACAACCTGGTAAGTTTAGTAATTTCAACAGGTGACTCAGGCGAATAAGAAAACAATTGAGCGAACATGAATTATTTACCCAGAGGCGAAGCTGCACTTCGCAAACGCTAGCTGGAACAAGACAAAAAAAGCAGCTCTATAAAGTGAAATAAGAAAAAGTAAAAGTCTGGAAATGGTAAAAAAAAATTTTCTGAACTCGACGGATTCCAAAATGCGACCTAGAGATTAAGAATCTCACGCCATAACCCCTCAGCCACGGACGCTTAGTAACAGTCAAACACTAGCCACAAATAAAGCAGACAACAGATGCTATGAAACTTCTAATGCTACAGATTGTGCTTCTAACAAGGTGCCACCAAATGAGCACTTTTATTTGCGAGTTAGCTTGAAAAAAAAAGATGGTTCGTACTTACACACTAGGCTTGCAAGCTCTCTAGTGTAAAGAAACTCACTTTTACCGTTGAAAAGGCTCATACCTTTTCAATGGTACATTGAACTTCAATTATAACTTCAAAGCGAAATGAGAACAAATTAAATTGAGTGTAAATCAAATCAAATTTCGAGGTTCTCCGCTTTATTTTATTCTTCTATTTCCAGCCTCGCTGCATAATCCATCCGTCACTATTTGGGCATACCATACTTAACATTTTATAACAGTAATTTCAGAGCTGGAAGCCTGCAAAACTTTCCTCATTTTGACCCAATGATCAAATGCGAGCACGTTTATCGGCTGAACTAAAAGAATATTTTTGAAGTTTCCAGCTCTGAAATCAGTTTTAACATAGACGATGGAATAATCAAACAATGAAGTTCATTACCAGATGTTTGCCGAAGCTGGAAATTCAACAGAGAGGCGAAGCGGAGCTCCGCAAAACTAGGTGAACCAAAATTTTCGTAGGTCTCGATGAAGGACACCTAAGGCCAAACTTAACACGGAGATATGTGTTTGATAGTTTTTGAACTTGTTATACTGATGCGGGACAAAATGCGTAAATTCAAAAATTGGACTTAGCCCAAAACCTTAGTTGTTTCTGTACTAAAATAAGTAGAATGAAAATTTTTGAGATTTTGGAATTTTCCCAAGACCTAATTTTTCAATGAAGTTCATTACCATGAAGTTCATTACCAGGTGTTTGCCGAAGCTGGAAATTCAACAGAGAGGCGAAGCGGAGCTCCGCAAAACTAGGTGAACCAAAATTTTCGTAGGTCTCGATGAAGGACACCTAGGGCCAAACTTAACACGGAGATACGTGTTTGATAGTTTTTGAACTTGTTATACTGATGCGGGACAAAATGCGTAAATTCAAAAATTGGACTTAGCCCAAAACCTTAGTTGTTTCTGTACTAAAATAAGTAGAATGAAAATTTTTGAGATTTTGGAATTTTCCCAAGACCTAATTTTTCTCTCACAAAAAAAATGAGGAGTAACGGCTTCTGCAGGAAAAATTCGCGCAATCGCTTATTTCAATTGAAATTTTCATCTCAGATTTGATAGAGTAGTTTTAAGAAAATACAAAAAGTTTCTAAAAAAACGGTCAAAGTTCAAAAACTTGAATTTCTAAAATCCGTTACTTTTTCTGCTATAAGCAGGATATCCCCAGAAAAAAAGAAGGCTTCGAATTCCCGACCGGTTTTTTGTAATTATCGTGTCTAGAAAATACAATGATTTACCAACGAAGGAAACGACCAACATATGATCTGTCAACAAAACTCGACAGACCTCACAATTGAGTGTTTATGGGAAGACCCAACAAAGCTGCTGTGTTCCTAAACCTCCGCTGACAGCATGGCTCATATGATGACTAGGTCACCTCTGAGGTACCAGCTAGAGGAAGAAGAGCCTTACCATCAAGACGAAACCATAACCAATTATAACCGCTTGCACTAGCAACTAGTGAAACGCTATTACAAGAGACGGGCTCAGCACGGGAATTTGGGGACTTTCCTCCTACCGAGGTGCATCCCGGAAGAGTTACAGTGCTTGATGGCCACAGAATGAGCCGAAACCAATTAATCAACCTCTGTTCCAACTGAACCAGAGTGATGAAAACAAATGATTGACAACCAACCAAGCACCGTCAAACAAACTAGGAACACAGAAAAAACCAAGTAATCAAACCGTGTCAGAAGCGCGTATATGCAGCATACCAACTTCCAACAACAACACCAACATATGAGCTGTAGAACTCTCGAAACAGAACAGAACCGTTGTTGTGTCGTAAATTTAGACCTATATGCTATGTTTTCAGCCTTTACAGCCGAAGAATGACTTTACTTGAAAACAAAAAACGCTCGTCACATAGTTGTATGTAACTTCTTTCATTAACACTTGAAAATTACAACTTTGAAATTGAAACATTTTAACAGTTGCTCGATCCTCGTCGCGGTCTTACTCACTCTGAGATGTGAACGAAGACTGTGTCGTCGTGGGAGAAGCCCTGGTGTGAGATCTCTTCCTCTGGATTGCATCTGATGAAGCCGAAGCCCTTCAGCCGACAGAACTCCTCCACTTTACCTCGCACTCTGTCCGGAAGAGTCCTCTCACAACTAAACAAGCACAATTGTAGTCAAGTATTCACATGATATAATAGCAGAATCAACACTCAACTTCATCTGGTCAAGGCAACGAGAGCAATCTGTCATTATAAAATATAAAACATCAAGATCTTAATTAACCAGTTTTGATTAATATTTCTATTTTATTATTTTTATATTATTATTTTTATTTTATTATTTCTAAGTGCAAAAAAGCTAGAAAAGTTATAGACTTCTAGAGCTTTTGTGATATCTCGAAGAGCAATTAATTGAAATCCAACAACACTCAAGTTAAATACAACTATATAACTTCTCCTTACTGAGAGAGTGTCCTAAATCGTTTTTGTGGAATGAGGTGAGGCCTGAGAAAAGGGTCATGATGCGGCGAGGAAGCAGAGGGTGAATCAAGTGAGTTATCGGCCGACGTCACACTAGACACTGAAGACATGAGGCTACTCTGAAAATATCAGTCATTCCACCCACGTTTAACTACAATAAAAAGCGACTACATATTATTCTAGTATTCTGTTAAATTATTCGGTTGACCAGCTGAGTACAATGTGAGTAATGTGGGTACGGTATCAAAAACTGTATTTTGGAAAATTTTCACCTTTTTTGCTGAAAAACTCAAAATTTGTGTAGAAAAAATTAGTCTTTTAAGTTTGACTTCTGAGACGCAATTACTGCCGTGCGCATGAAAGAAGGACTTCACGAAAGGCCTAAAATTTCAGATATTTAATTCAAATAAGCAATTATGAAAATATGGCACCGAGGCGAAGCGGAGCTTTGCATCCTTGCAATGCATTACAATAAAAAACCTTTTTGTGTATATTTAATTTCCATTTGCAATATTATCCTTTTAATGTTAAAGGATGATTTTTTTTTACATCATTCGCTAGTTTTCCTATTTTTTTAAAACCCAGTTGGAAAATTGAACCTCAAATTTCAAACCACCCTACAAAACATAGCCAAAAGACAATTGGAATAGTTTTAGTGAACAAGGAAACCGACATAGTGACAATACACAACTCAAAAAAGCTTCATAAATTTTTGAAAAATCATTCAAAAATTAAGTCAATATCAAAAAATACAGAATACTAGAAAAGTATGTTTTGAGTAAATAGATTGTCAGAAATAAAGCCGGCACTAAATATGTCGAAAATATACCAGAACTTTTTGGCAACAAAACTCTTATCGAATGAACGCTAAGCGTACACGACAAAAAAGTAAATACCTTCACTTCAGTACAAACATTGCACCCAAGTATTCACATTAAACAATTCTCAATTTCGTCATCTCATTAGCAAAATGTTTTTACCGGGAAACAGTCTAGCACCCGATTAAAACCATTCGTACCAAAGATTAAGCGTGGACCTGATTCACGCGCAGTTTTTATCTTGTGCCGGATGTGACCGCAGCGAAGCAAGCCCTTTCTACTTGCCAATGCCTTCTCGCGTACGAATTGTCGCTTGTTACGAATTGTCACCTGTTGAAATTTTCGTCCTACCAATTAAAACATCCTTGTTAATCACAGGGGTAACGAAATAAGCCCTTAGAATGTTTCTCATTCTCGTTATTCTATGAGCAACAATATTTACAGGAAACAAATTATAGTACCAAATATCAATACCCTTGCTAATCGCAAGGGTAATGAACTAAATCCTTTGAAAGGAGAAAAAACCAAGGCCATCTAGGTAATCAAAAATTGCCCTCGTTCATCGAAAATCAAAAGCTGAGCAGAAGCAAACTATCAGCATTACTGAAAAACACGACTATGTTAAGTCTCATTGATTGGAGTTGTTTGGAGATGTAAGCAAAAGGCGTCACAGAAGTGTTCTGGTTGCTGAAAAATCCTCATAAACAGCACAACGAGTTTGAAACTTTTGAAAGTAAATGTGGTTTTTGGAAAGCCAAGGAACTTTACTCGACATAGAAAAGAAATAGAGAATTGTTTGACTCTTACACAAAAGTTGTCTCGCAGTTCATAAATCTCTTTTCTAAATTACTTAAAAAAGAGTGAATTTAATTGGAAAAGAGTAATGGACGCAAGTAAAGATTTAAAAAAAAAACACTTTCTTGAAAAGGTCTCAACTTTCGAATTTCAAAGAAAAAAAAACAGATGCCCTTTAAGGTCTTTGAATTTCTAGAACGCTTTATGAATGGCGCTTTTTTGATAAAATTAACCCAGCTTGAGCAAATTGGATCAACAGGTAAAGTTTTTATTCCGATGGAAATCTAAAAATTGAATTACACTTTCGAAACTAGAAATCGTTCGCGTTTTTTGCGCCATTTCCATGTTCGTATTTGGAGAGTGCTATTTACGTCATTTTCAGCAGATAACTTTAAATTGAACTCAAAAAGTGCACATATACCAAAGTGCATCCATAAATGCACTCATATGTATGATAGCACATCTGTAGTTATTAGAGCATTTTGAGACTTTTTCCTGAAAATACGAGAAAAAAAATTACTACGTTCATTACTCTTAAAAATCAAAAATTAAACTATGAATTGAGCGTGAGAACAACAACTGAGAAAACAACAACCACACAAACTAAATACCAACCTCGTTCCTTGACATTTGAAACATAGTCAACTGACAGTTGGAAAACAGTAATGAACGCAAGGAAACTAAAAAAAACACCGACTTGTTTTTTCAAAGATCTTCAACTATTGAATTTCGAAGAAAAAAACAGATGGCCTTAAAGCTCTTTGAATTTGTAGAACAATTTATGATGGACACTTTTTTGTTGAAATTAACCCAATATGAGAAAACTGGATCAATAAGTAAAACTTTTATTTCGCTGGGAAATCTGATAATTCATTTCCATTTTCGAAATTAGAAGTCGATCACGTTTTTCGTGACCTTTACAATTTTGATATTAGATAGTGGAGTTTGTCTTCCTTTTAACAATAGAAATTCACTGAACTTAAAAAAAGCCAAACCGCTAAAAATCAAAACTGAACGAACAAATTTCAAGACTTTTTCCTGAAAAAAAATACAAAAAAAATCAGCAAGACCTATATAAGAGTACTAACTACGTTCATTACTCTTAACAGTTTCATCCACATGTCAAAATTCCAGCTTTGAATCAGCACTTAGAGAGAACAAAAACGTGATGAAAATTTACGTTCTCATCTGCTGAAAACTAGAAGTTGCAAATTTTTTGTCCCGTGAGTAGATAGTTCTGTTTAAAATTGACTTTGGAAATACTCGATTTGAAAAAGTTTTATAATTAAATTTTAATTAGATCAACTTTACCAAGCAAATACACCGAAAGAAACCTAAGAATATCAGATTAAAACAAAAGATTCGAGGATTAAGTGATCATTAAACTGCATATTTATGAAAAAGTGGGTAAGTTTACTTCTTCGTTTACTTTACTTATTGAAGACAATACTTATTTCGTTTCAGTTTGAAGACAATATATCAGCACTGCAAACGATTTCTAGGAAAAACATTATGAGACTTTTATCGCCTGATGACTCTACGAGCTCCGCGGCCTCCTCTTGTGCCGCCACGTCTAGCAGTCTGTTTAGTCGAAGGAGATGAGTCATTACTTTTCGGTGAAGCTTTAGGTGGTAGCGGGTCAACATTGTCCTCAATTATAGACTAAAACGATATCATATCAATAATTGCCCACTAAGTAGAGAAATCTCCACGATGCGCTTAGTTCTCAAACTAATTATCAAGAAACCTTTGATACACCGCGAAACTACAAATATAGCCAAAAGAAAAATACAATTGTCAATGACCCCAAGGCAGGGTTGCATAAAAATCTGATGTATATTCTCGAATGATTTAAATCCAATTTTTATTATTTCACCTTGATTTTTTCGATTTTTATTGGAAACGTTTTTGTTTCAAGAATCAATTGATTTACGCAAAATTATTGCCTCAGCATCCGAAAGAAGAACACAAGTTACCCATATTTTTCTATTCTCAGTCAATTTCTGAGACTGGAATGGATAAATCCGAAAGTGCTGAAAAACTTTTCCAGTAAAAAAAGCTATGAAGAGCGAATTACGTAACCAATGTATATATTGCAAGCTGGCTTGTATGTTTACCGCAGCACTCGGCAGGATAACACAAAGTCTGATTTTTTATTTTAATTTATATTCTACGATTAAAATCCGATTGAAATCATTGATTTAAATCAAGTTATTTTAATCATGCAACCCTGCCCCAAGGAAATAAAAAAGTAACAAAAAAGAAAGTTGCACACAGGGGCGACGCAGCAGCTTCGCAAACACGAGCGAAAAAGCGGCGAAAATTCAGGAGCTTTCAAATGCACAAAAACAAACTTTGCGTGTAATAATTTGAAAAAAATAAAAAACTAAAGGCAGCCACACTAACTTTGCATGTAATAAATTAGAATGCATTAAGCCAAACTAGCGTGTAACGCACCTCCGGTGCTTCAAACAGAATATTTAACGTGAAAACTGCTTATATCTAAAATAAATAAAAAAACAGCGAAAAGAACAAAAAACCGTAAAAGTAGACGAGCGCACCCAACAACGCTTTTTATTTAAAAAATTAAACAAAAAAAATTCAACTGAAATGTTTTTAAACTGAAATGGTTAAATCTCCGAAGTTACTGGGTTTCAACTTCTGGGTTTTAGAATGGCTAATAGCATACAAATAAACTCCCATATTTAAAAATTTCATTGTCAAAATCACTGAATTCATGAATGTGACGCTTGCTCAAGTTAGTTCTTTTTTATTTAAAACGGCAGAATTTTTTTTCTTAGTTTAACTGATAGTTTATTGAATATTTTTTTTTGGAATTTTAGTCAATTTGTTTTGAAAAATCATGAAAAATGAATCATAATGCATATCTAGGAAAGCGAAATGAGCTGAGCAGTCATCTTCAGAGTCCATATAAAAACTTCCCGAGTGTCTCGACAGCACCCCATCATAATTTTGAGAAGTTGAAGTTCTTTTTAAAGATTAAGTTTTTCAAAAGTGATGAAAAATTATACAAAATGGTATATCTCCCAAACAAAGATTATTTAAGCAGTCAAAACTTGAAGAAAAGAATTGCAACCTCTGGAAGTACCATGAGATCACCCCATTATAGAGTTGGGAAATGAAATTGTTTTCAAATCAAGTTTTTTGAATTTTTTTTGAGAATTATAGAAAAAAAACGTCGTCTTCGAAATTAAAAGGATTTCAGCAGCCACGATTTGCAAGGTCTGACAGTACCCTGACACCATAGAGTTGATAAAATCAACTTTTTGAAGTTCTTTTAAATCTAAGTTATGTGAAAAACGTCATATCTTGGTAGGTTAAAGGTTCTGAGAAGCCATATTTTGAGGCCAGATTTGGAATCCCTGGGAAAAACCTGGCAGCATCCAATTACTGAGTTGAGTTATTTTAATATAAATTAATTATAATTTTTTTTTGAAACAATTATAATTTTGTTTCTGAAAAAAACAACAAAAAACGTCATATCTCGAAAACTAAGGGTCAAGATTCGCAACCTCTGAGAATACTCTAATAGCCCCCCAACTACAGGGTTTGGAAATTCAAACTTTCAAGAAAAAAAAACAAATTTAAAATTGTTTGAAAAAAAAAATCACAAAAACGTCATATCTCGAAAACTACAAAGATTTGAGCAGTCATAACTAGAGGCAAGATTCGCATGACTCATGATTGGAGGCCAAACTCGCAACCCCTTGGGGAATCCTGACAGACCCCTACTATTGGGCTGCTAATTTTAAGCTCTGTGAAATAACCACTAAGTTCAAACTCGGAAAAAAAATTCTTAACTATTGCAATATACGATATAGCTTAAGCGTGAAAAAATTCTTTCGTTAAGCAAGCAAACAATACGTTGAAAAAGCTTACACGTGGCGAGATATTGAAGCCCGCATTTAAATATTTAATAGATTGCGTATAAATTATGCATTTCAGAAATATCGCTTTGGAAAAATCTAGCATTTCAAAAATCTCGCATTGGCAGATATTCGAGTTGGAAAATTTTTTGGCCAATGTGAGCAATCTCCCTTTTAACATACCAAGTGAACAATCTATCTAAATGGCATATTCAATATGCAAGCCGTAAGGCCAGCATGTACTATGCTCAAACCTGATTGGCTGAAAGATATTACTTTCAACCAAAAAACAATGCCCCTCCTAGATCAATTTATTGGAGAGATTGTTCACTTAGTATAGTAAGTACATTCACATTTCAGAAATTCGACTGTTGTATGAAACAAATAGCTTTTTCTTTGTTTCAATTAACGAAATAAAAAAGCATCAACTGTGTCAGCTTATTACTAATCAAATGTCAAAGCACTTGGGATTATAATGCCAATCTAGCCTACCGATTCAAAAAAGCTACCAAAAGTAGCACTTTTATATGCGACTTAGCTTGGCAAAAAAATTGCATCGTACAATCAGGGGGCTATTATCATAATGGAGGGACTAAGTTATGGAACATTTTCAGCCAATCAGAATCGTTAGTCGTTCCTATTCGCTGAATATTTTTTTACACACAATTGAAGTCAAAATTAGCAAAAATGATTTAAGGGCCACTTTTGCTGTTCATTTTGTTCAAATACGGAATAAAGTTTTTGTTTTGTCTTTAAGTTTTTTTTAAACAGAGGCGAAGCTACACTTCGCAAACACTAGCAGCAGCAAAACACTAGCAGCAGCAGCAGCAGCAAGAAAGCAGCTCTATTAAGTGAAACAAAGAAAAAGCAATCCTGGAATTAGCAAAAAAAATTCTGCCACGAGACGGATTCACACCTGCGACCTGGAGATGAAGAATCTAACGCCGTAACCTCTCAGCCAGGGACGCTTAATAATCGTCAAACACTAGATTGGGGAAAAAAAGTTCGTCGCTCACAAGGTCGGTAGAGTAAAAATTGCTATACTCTATGTAATAAATTTTTTCTAACGCCTTTTAGACATGAAACTATTTAAAAATAAATTTTCAAATCATATTGCAATCGGTCAATTTTAGTTCTGATGGCCTGATTTTATTTTCCTAAATTGTAACTTTCGCGAATTCTTTTAGAATTTTGGAAACTCAATTGTGATGGGCTCAAAATTATTGAAAAGAAATTTCAAACAATTGGTCCCTCTATCATGAGGGCGCCACCATACTATCACACTACGCTACGTTCGAGTAAAGCGCCAATGAACAAGGAAACCGAAAATTAAGTTTTTAATATTATTTTTATTTTTGGATTAAGGGAGAAAAAAATGTCATGTTAAAGCACAAAATATTTCCAGAATCTTTTAATTGACTATTAATTGATAAAACTTACCCAATTTGAAACACTGTCAATAAATAAATTTTGTATTCCACTAGAAAACCTTAAAATTAAAATCCACTTTCGAAACTAGAAGAAAAATTAATTTCTCGAAGTTACTTAATTTTTTAATCAGATGATTTAATTGACACAGAGGCGAAGTTGCATTTCGCATCACATACACCAGCAAAAATTTGACTGAAAACGCTACAAATTTGAAAAAAAAATTACTAACTAACATGCTTCAATTTATGGCGCAGTAATAACACGAAATAATTAAACGTAGAAATTTTTTTTTTTAATTTGAGTTTTTTTTTGTGAAAATTATCCCCCCACACACTATAATAAGTACAGAGTGATAAATTTGATCCTAGTAACAAATCAATTATGGCAAATAAAATTCCTTCAACCAATTTGGAACGGTTTCTATGAAGATTAAATCTCCGCTTACGCGTTAATGGCGCAAAATATATCGCGCGTTAATTGTCCCAAATTGGGCAAAATGGCAATTTTTAAACCCCCATAACTTTACAAAAAATGATCACAGGTGAAATATTTATCCAAATTTAAGTTCAGGACAACAATAATTTTTGAATGATATAAAAAACATCCCGTCAAAAATGGCTGGTTAAAAAGTCGAAAGTTGTCTGAAGAAAAAAAAACCACCCCACGAGCACAAATATTCCGTTATTTTTGTAACGAAAGTCGGAACAATAAAAGTCTGTGTTAAAATCTTTAGCAGTTAATAGCTGGTAACTGATCAAAATGAACACTTTCAAAATGAGCACATTTTATCGCAACAATATTTGCGTCGCAACAATATTTGCGACTTAGGATGAAAAAAAAGATAGTTCATACTATAACACAAGCGTTGCTTGTGTAAATATACATCAGTAAAAAAGAGCGGAGGGCTAACGAACTCATAAGAGAAACTAAGGCACTCAAGCTTTTTCGCGCAATTCTGTTATTTGAGAGGGTAATGTTTCTACCTGTTAGGCAAATGAACTTCCCGGAAAAATTAATTTTGAGCGTGTTCAAAATTTAGGACTGTACATTAAGAAAAAATTATTATAGCCAACTTAATGGAACTTAATATGCACATTTTCAGGTCAAAATTAGCTTTCATTTTTCACAGATAAAAAATGTCAGTTTTTGGGTTCCCGACATATGACGTATCCTATAGTATCTTTTTCTATCAATTTTTTCAAACCCATAACTCAGTGTTTATTCATTAACTAACCAACTGGGGCGTCTGCCAATCGGCATTTCCAGACAATACACTAGCATTGGAGCTTGACCTTGTTCTTTCTTCATTTCTATTCTCTAGATGTCCATCTGCCATCGGATCATTTGATCCCTCCTTCACCACCACATGCAGAAGGGGTTCATCGACACTTTCCTCTCGCACTACAAATCCATTGTCATCATCATTCTCTTCTTCTTCAGTTTCCTCCTCTACTTCTGAAGTGGGAGGCATGATTTCGCTGTCTTCACTATTGTCTGAAAGTTTCAAAATAGTTTGAACTTTCAGCTGATCGACTGTGACGAAACGATAATGAGAAAACTAAAAACGATAACATTGGTAGCAATTTAGTACAATCTTTTTTACAGAGAACAGTTTTCACGGAGAAAAAATTTTTTCTCGATGTAAACTAACCGTGACACCTTTTCAAAATTCTTTTACGAGGTTTATCACATCGCCTTCGAACTAGCATCTTCAAAAAATTTAGCCAAAACTAACACAAATAGCCTGCTGCTGCGCAAGTAGCTCTCAGTAATTTCCAACATATTTAATTCTGCAAAAATATGGAAAAGCGAAAAAAAATTTCTAGTAGTTAGAAATTCTGTTTTTCCGACAGATTTTTTTGATGATTATTATTCGAAGCAAGATTGAAAGCGTTTCAAAATGTTAGTTTGATCACTATTTGAACATTCACTGCATTACGCCAAGTTTTTATTTCAAAGTCGAAATTCGAATGTGGGGGAAAGTGGCCATCATTTTTGAGTATTGTCAATCATATTTCAGTCTTTTAAAATTAGTCTACGTACTCGGTTGTCTGCTTACTACACGGACACCGGTATCGAGTCATTACGATATCAGAATCATCACAAAGAAATCAAAGCAAATTGAATCTGTTCTTCGCTCTAATGAAAATTCAAAAAACATGACCAGGTTAAAAACACGGGTTAACGGGCAGCAGTAACTTACCCATTCTTATCTCCTCAATTGGTGGTTCCTGGAAGAAATCAGTGTCCGCATCATCACCCCCGTCCCCCAGTCGATCACATCCCCTTGGTGACCGAAATGGGTCCTCTTCCTCCTCCACTACACTCACTGGGATCTCCTAAAAAGAGTTCCCTTTGTACTCATAACGGAAGCAAATGCAGACTAATTGTTGTGATAAATTTTTAAAATAGTTTCAGATGGCTGAATTGAAGATCGATGAATTGTTACAAACAACTAAATGCGCAAATGCGGATCAATCGGTGAACGAAATTCTGAAAATTATTCTCGAAGATCTCCAAAAAAAAGAATCAAGAAACAAAGTGAGAAAGTCGTGACACTGAATGAAATAACAGACCTAGAACTGCGGATATCCGAACACGAACAATATAGTTCACAAAGACTGCATTATTATTGAACATGCGGAATGGAACTTTGATAGCCTCAGGAAAAGTATATGTGAGTTCTTCCTGAAAAGCTTGTGTACAAAATTGTTCCCGCGAATCTAAAAGCTTGCCACCCTTTCAAAAAGGGTAACGAAAAGTTTTCCCCTACCGCCATTGTTAAAATTGTATAAACCGAGGACAAGAACAACGTTTAACATCGAGTGATGGCAGGCAAGCATCCAAACCAGAGTTATTTGAATCCCACTTTTCTCGAGGAACGTCTTCTCAAACGTGATGCTGAGCTTTAAAAAATGCCTATGAAAGTGGATACGTAATAACAAGCACAATTGTCAAATAAAAAAATGTTCCATCAACACGAGGATGGCTCTCGAACGGCCATTCTCGTGTGGAATTAAAGATCTCTTGAATATCTAGTCTAGAGCGATCAAGAGAAAGAAAAGAACAGTTTCGTTTCACTGTTGGTAACAGTGGACGAGAAGTACTGCAAGATGAAAACCGAGAATTAAACAAAGGTCTGAGGGAAGCAATTGAAGAAAGAGCACAGCTGTAGAGTCTGAGTTACCTAGAATTCAAGAGGACAAACATAAGAATCAAATTCTTACTTTTACTCCAGCAATTGCGCTTAATAGAATAAAAAAAGTGAAAGAGACCCATGCAAGCTGCTAATAATCTATTAGGTGCTACAACCTAGAAGTAAAGGCTTGTTTAAGAGCTTAGAAAGTTTTACCGTTTTTTATTGCATTAAGTGCGACTTGATTTCCCGATAGTGACAATACAGTTAGTTTTTGTTTTCATTACTACCGTCCTTGCATTGTTGAGACCAGAGAATCTAGCGGCGAGGAATTGCGATATATGTTCGCAATACATTCAGATTTTGTAACTCTGACTGCAGTAGTGACCTGGAGGCAGTAAATATCAAGTTAATACTGAATGAAATGATATCCTGAATATAAAATTTCATCAGACCGCCTTTTTAGAAACCAGGATGCTAAGAAATCAAATTAATCCAGTTGGTGATTCAAATAAAAATATAAGCAACGACAACCAACATTGTATGAAACTTAAGAGGTTGTGTCTTACAACTATAAAACTTTAATTTAATCGATGATAACAAGGCAAACAGCCAATTCTGCAACTTCAAAGATCAAGTTATAAACAATTTTCATGTTTTCGCCTCAGTTTTAGATTGGGACATCTCAGATCACTTTCAACTGGCAGTTGACATTATTTATGCGACTAATATTGAGAACGAAAGTTCAAAATTTGAACCTTCAGTCATTTGAGTGATTCAATTAAATAGTATAGTTCCTTCTGGATTTGCAAAATAGTTTGAAAAGCTCAGCTGTAAATAAAAGTGTTGAAGAAATTTCAAAAACTCATCAAGACATGCACCAGAAAAGATGTTTCCCATTCACCAGAAAAAAAACATGGATTACCAACTGCTGTATGAGCGAAAAAACATATCGTGCAACTATTCATAAGCCGCTAAGAGATAAGTGCTAAGTGTTCAGGTTAAAACATTAGCACGCGTCAATAATGAGAAAGAACTGTTGTAAGTGCTTCAAACACTTTTTGTTCAATAGTTATACATGAAGACCAACAATAGAATAATCTAGTTCGAATGAAAATAAATTGAACGAGTTTTATTTGCTATAATTGGTGAAAACCTAGCAGCAATTTTCATAACGAAGCCAGTCCAAACCTTCCTGCTTGTAATCAAATTTTTTTAGTTGAAGCCCATTCAATTTTTGAAATTTTTAAAGCTATATTGAAATTGCCCAATAATTTTACAGTTAGTGCTGATGGAAAATCAAATATTTAAATTTAATTATTGAAATTGTAATTTCGATTTATTTGACTAAGAAGTGCATAAATTGGGTCAAACCCTTTCTTGTTTAAAAATGCGTAGAGATTGGCACTTTATAAGGCTGGCGAATTTACAAATCTTATATTTATACGCCCATTTCTTTGATCAGTCCACTTGATAAAATTTTTGAAAGGCTTTTATATACTAATTTAACAAGAAATAAGGGATAAAACTGCTTTTTTATGATTAAAATCAACTTTTTTCTCAAGATAAAACATTCAACGTTTCGGTGACATCTGGCACCACCATCAGGAACTGGAAGAAAACTTAATTGAGAACAGCACTAGAAGGTGAAAAGAGCACTGTTGGGTAAACACAAAATGTTAGATAGACATCAAAGTGAACAAAAACTCAAAAAGTTCAACAAAAAAGCACCCAAACGTGGAGAAAATAGCACTTAAAAAGTTAAACGATAAAACAGCTAGAAAAGACTCAAAATGATGGTATATGACTGTTTATTCAAACCACAATTCTGATGTTTTATGTGATATGCCCCCGTGAGAAGGGCACGCCAGGAAGAAGACTTCTCAAGGACCTCGAAACAAATGATCCTCCAAATGATCTTCGATGGATGGTAGACATGATAGGATCATAGATGGCAGAAATACCTCCAGACTGTTAATTGATATGTTCCCTGACCCTCGAGTGTAAATGTCGTCGAGTGACGCCCACATAACGAGAATTACAACCCGTTTCTGGACATCAAATAGGTACATCAAGCCGCCATTATGGACCATTTTCGGCTGATTTTCTGGACGTCTGAGGATCGATATCAAATTGTTAGAAGTTAAGATCAGCCTGAGACACGGAACTTCAATACGGCTGCATAGATTTTCCAAGGAGTTTTTTATTGGCTGATTCACCACATGAAAAAATCAATAAAGAAGAAACTTCGTCAGATAATTGTTCTCGCAAATTTTGCTCACCAACACCCAATTTCTTGTTCAGAAAATTACGAAATTGAATACTCAAGCTACCAGGATCTTAACCCAGCCGCGTCAGACAACCAATACTTCTCTCAATTTCTTTGTGAAACTCAATCCAATTTGAATGAAAATAAAATGAGTTTTTACTGCTTGTCGATGACACGTTTGTCTTCCTGCTAAAGTTTCCTGCTTGCCGATGACATAGTGTCATCCGCTATAACGATGACGCCTTTTTGCTTTTTTCGTCGCCGTGTCACTTTGATGAGTTCCTCGAGAAGTTCAATTTATTCCATCCTTCAATTCAATTCATCTATGAATTAGCTGGGAACAACATTATTTCTTTTATCGGCGTGTCTGTTTCAATGCATTCTGGCGGTTTTGAGACATCAGTTCATCACAAAAAATGCGACAAATGCTTATTTCTGCAGGCCAAATCGTTCTGCGATGAGGGTAATAAACACAACCTGATGCCCATTGGTTGAGAGATGTATTGGTTGTCTGACGCGGCTGGGTTATGATCCTGATAGCTTGAGTATTCAAATTCGTAATTTTCTGAACAAGAAATTAGGTGTCGGTGAGAAAAATTTGCGAGAAAAAATATCTGACGAAGTTTCTTGTTTATTGATTTTACCATATCGTAGTGAATCAGCCAAAAAAGTACTACGGTCCTCCTTGGAGAATCTATGCAGCCGTATTGAAGTTCCGTTTGTCAGGCTGATCTTAAAGTCTTACAACTTTATATCGATCCACAGACGTCCAGAAAAGCAGCCAAAAATGGTCAATAATGGCGGTGTGAAGTACCTATTTCGTTGGTCAGAAACAGGTTGTAATTCTCGTTCTGGAGTCACTCGACGACATTTACACAAGAGGGTCAGGGAACATGCCAGTAGACAGTCTGGAGGCGTTCCTGCCATCTATGATCACCTCATGATGCACGACATTCGACCATCCATCAAAAATAATTTAGGGTGTTTTGAGGTCCTTGAGAAGTCTTCCTCCTGGCGTCTCCTTCTTTTCACGGAGGCATATCACATTAAACATCAGAATTTATGATTTGAATAAACAGTCAGATTCCACCATTTTGAGTCTTTTCTAGCTGTTTTATCGTTTAACTTTTTCAGTGCTATTTTTCCTTTTCCCCCACGTTTAGGTGCTTTTTGTTGTTGAACTTTTTGGGTTTTTGTTCACTTTGATGTCTATTTAACGTTTTGTATTTACCCACTCAACAGTGCTCTTTTCACCTTCTAGTGCTCTGTTCTTAATTTACTTTATTTTTCAGTTCCTGATGATGGCGCCAGATGTCACCGAAACGTTGAATGTTTTATTAGAGAAAAAAGTTGATTTTAATCATGAAAAAGCAGTTTTATCCCTTATTTCTTGTTAAATTGTTATCCGGCACAAAAATATTCAGTTTTATAGAAAAAGTTAGTTAAATTATTTGAAAATGAAAAAGTGTTTTTATCTTCAGTGATGGTGAATTTAGCTTGTAAAAATAATCTAGATCTGATGCGGTGGCTCTCCAGCCAAATGAACTTCAAAGCTCAATCGGTATGGAAAAAGCAATCTGCTTGTTTTACTGATCTGAAGGAAGCCTTGGATGATTTATTATCTCAGTGTAAAAATTCAAATGACTTTCTTTAAGCAAATGATACTGCCATAGTGAAAAAAAATTGATATATTTATCCGGGTGCTTCTCAAGTTAGCGACTGGATGTATTCAAATCACCTCACTATAACGACAAACCATTCAATTACTTTAGACAACAAAGCATGTGAGCAAGTATTCTGGAATGATGATTGATGAAACACTGAGTTTCGATCCTCAGATTAATTACATGTCAAAAATTTTAAAATAAAATGGTCTTTCATAGAATCAAATACGTGTTTCATCGTTAGCATCTGTTAAAATACCACAATAGTTT